ATAGGTCTATAAGATCCATCTGTTCCTCCTACCCTAAGGAATGGCTAATGTCATCGCTTCAGTTTTCATTAGGACGTTTGCTGGTTTTGTAAATATCTGGGCAGCAAAGCTTCCCTTTTAATATCCAGTAAGTAGAAACACTAGCTGTCTAGCACACCAACGAAAACGCGCACGGTTGTTTCTTTTCTTCAGAAGTACACTTTTTCATTATTGCAAGTTTACAATTTTAAATTAAATATTTTTTTTTTTTTCTTTTTTTCCCCCTTTTTTTTAAGATTAAAAAATCCTTTTTTTTTTTTTTTTTTTCCTTTTTTTTTTTTTTTTTTTCCAAAAGAAGTTTAGGCACAAATGCATTGTCCCACAGTGTGGAGAAGATTGCCATTCAGTCTCTCGGCTGTGCACGTACAGCTCGTAACATACTGCGTTAGACATTCTGCGTGATATGTTAAAGAGAGTCGTCCCTCAAGTTGCACTTTTTTGTGTTGTGTTTTGCTTTTTTCTCTCGGTTTTAATACTCGGGAATGCTGAAATCTCTTGCGTCTGTGATTCTTAACTACTCAGACTTGTCTTATATTACAAAAAAAGGGGTTAAGGAGAAGTGTTTATGTGGGTTTAAGATAATACAGCTGTTAAGGAAGTGGTCTCTTGCTTAAATGAAGAAATGTGGCAACTTGGACCTGTGGAAGAAGTAAAAAACCCCCATCAGTCACGGAGCGTTGCCTGCGTGCCCCTACCCCCTCCTCCAGCGACCCGCCCCAGGGCAGCCCTGGAGATCCAGCCCGAAAATCAGATTGCGAGGGGTGGGCCAGCGCATCCCCCTATTTTTTTTTTATTTTTTACATCTGTCCCATGTGATTGGAGGCGTCTCCCATCCCGGGGTGGGGTCCTGCCAGGGAAAGCGGCGGAGGATCTGAAGAGACTTTCTCTTCTTCCCTTCTTTTCAGACACGCTGCCTTCGGGTTCAGATTTCTTTCTGTTGAATTGAAGCAAGAGGCCATTTCAGATCTCCGCGTTTTTACACCGGATCTGGTCTGTTCATCGCGTGGGCAATTAACATAATTAACGGTCGAGTTATTTCGGGCCAGCCCGGCTACGGGAATTCAGCGGGCGGAAGCGGAGGGCACCACTCGGTCGGGCGCTGGATGACTCCACGCACAAGCTCTGCGAACACCTCCCGGTTTGGGCTCTGCCAAGGAGCAGCCAAGCTGAATACTGGATTTGGATCTTGCCAAAGGACGTAAAATGTGCCGAGGGCTTATGCCTGGCGTCCCCGCTGCCGGAGCCACAGGGGAGCACTGGCACCCCGGGAGCTCAGGGTGCCAAGGGTTCGGTCTCGCCTCTCTCCCTGGCACCGGGTGCCCCTGGCCAGGCTTCCCCCAAGCCAGAAAGGTGCCTTGGGCATGGCCAAAGCCCGGGGGGGGTGCGAGGACACGCGAGGTGGGACACTGACCTCTAACTTGCTGCTCTAAGCTGAGGATGACGGCCACGGCCTGGTGTAAAATCAGGAGCTTGGTCTGGGGCTTGTCGCTCTTCAGATGGAGCTGCACCATCCGGCCCAACTCCTTGAAAGCCTCGTTGATGTCGCGGACGCGCAGGCGCTCCCGAGCGTTGTTGGCCATTCGCCTTTCCTTTTCCCTCTCCGCCTTCTGCTCCGGTGTCAGGTCTTCGTCATCGTTATTGCTGGGAGACAAAAGGAACACATCATTTTCTAATGACGTGGAAGACAAGCAGTGCAAAGGTTTTCAACAGACTTTGTCCAAAACGAGCGCTACCCTTCGGGAGCAGGCACCTTCCGAGCCATCCTCATTTGCTGGCCCTCTTCCACCAAACCTGCGCAAAATCCGGTCCCCTGAAATTTTACACTGGGTGAAGCCCCAGTTTGTAACAAAGCTCCGGCCCCTCGGCGGCAGCGCCCACGCCAGGGCGACAGCCGTGCACGTAAGGGGTGCCCTTCAGCAAGCCCCTCATTCGGGTTTGGGAAGAAACCTCCGCCGCCGCCGAGGGGGAGGTGAGGACCCGACGCCTCCCTGAGCGGCGGCGAGCTCCAGGCAGTGGGGGCGGCAGCACCCCTGTCCCTGGCGCGGGGCACGGGGCACCGAAATGCCCGTGGGCAAAGAGCCAGGGAAGTGATTTACGGCTGTGAGGAGCCCCCCGGTGAACTTCTGCATCCTTTCCGCAACAAAACTGCCTTCTATCCGGAGAAAATGATGATTTTTAATTTGAGAACACATCCACTGGTGAGTCACCGGCACGATGTAATTTGAATTGGTTATGCAAATGGAGTAATAAATTTTCAGCAGCCCTAACAACACGGATTCAGACATATAACTAAATATCAGGAGTAACCTTTTAAAGCTGCAAGCATGTTAAAAGCAAAAATGTTAGCCTACAAAAGCTTCAAAGCAGACATAAATATGCATAAGCGCCAGCATATTTGTTGCATTAACAAGAGCCACGATGGCCTCACATCAGCACAAAGGTGCTTTCTTCTTACCGCAGCCTAACCGCACATGAAAGCCTCGCTTATACATATGGTTCCTTCAACACATCTAGTCCCAGAAAATCTCGAGTGTCATCTATTTTCTCCAGCCGTGAGTGTCATTAACGTCTTCCACACCAGTGCCCGCTGGCCCGAGCCTCGGCGCCCCCTCGGGGGCAGCTCGGCCCCTTCTTACCTGGGCTCGGTTGGGCAGCGTGCCAGGCGTGGAAGGAGAGGAGGCAGGAGGACGCTGCCGTTCGTCTTGAAAAAATTAAAATCCCCTGAACGAAGCAGGGTCCTGCCTGGATTTCAGCTTTACTGGGACTTTCAGCTGCGACGACAAGAATCCGCAGCCCTGAGCTGTACCTGGGTGCAGGTGGAATTTGAGGGGATGGGGATTAACCCTGTCCCGTGCTGGCGTTCACGTCTGCGGCACCCACAGACGTCGTTCCCATGGGCGCGCGCGTTCCCGGATGATAGGATCCAGGCACGCCTTCGCTACTACTTCCCCAAAATGTATAAAGAAGAACAAGCAAAGAGCTCTAAGCCCCCCGATTCAACCCAGGAACGGGGCCCTGGGAGTGACCGCTGTATTTCAGAGGCGAAAGCAAAGCGTTCGGTTTGTTAGTTCAGAGGAAGGCCCATACTGTATTCCAATTTGCAAGCGTGGGCAGGCAAGAGAGGAATAACAGCCTAATTCGTACGTTTTAGCGCAACGCAATTTCTGTATAGGTTGTGGAGAACGTGCTCAGTGTCCAAATTTGTGAATTGTTCCAATTTGAGGACGTCCTGGAGTACAGGTACCCGCCGGGCACTCGGTACTGCCAGAGGAGCCATCCCCTTCCGCTTAGGCTGTGGTTTTACCTGCCAGGAAAAAACCTCATAGTTTCCTCCTGTTCTGTTCACTTCATCGAAATCCAGTAAAGGAATTAAATGAAGCGACACTATTATATACTGTTACCTAGATCTTGACCTAGTAATTGATTTGATATCCTTCTTGTCATCCTCTAGTTTCTTGTCCTCAGAAGACTTTGTGTCCTGGAGGTTTTCATCTCCCTCGTCGTCAGATTTGATTTCGGAGCTGCCCGAAGAGACGCTCTGCCCTTGCAGTCCGGTCGGCATGCCTGTGAGAAAACACAGCTCTGCTTTCTGGAACCTGCGACTCCTGTTCTGCCATCATAGAATCACAGAATCACTTTGGTTGGAAAAGACCTTCGAGATCGTCGAGTCCAACCGTTAACCTAACCCTGCCATCCCACCACTGAACCATGTCCCTAAGCACCTCATCTCTCCTTCTTTTAAATCCCTCCAGGGATGAGGACTCTACCACCTCCCTGGGCAGCCCCTTCCAGACCTAACTTGTCCTTCATCGTAAAAAAACCAACTTTACTACCTCATCCTCATAAAAGAATCAAAGTACCTGGGCTGCAATGGGTGAGCAAAACCTTGTAAGCCATCATCACAGCTTGGGCTCCTTCCTCCCGGCTTGAGCGGGAAGATCAGCTGCCTCCAGGAACAACAACGTCCCCCGGTGTCCCCTGGGCTCGGCTGGCTCCGGGGCTGCTTTGCCAGAGCCCCGCAGCAGAGCCTGCGGGGCTTAGGGCAGCGCGGGGCATCTTGTGAGCCAAGGCACCCCGGGCAGAACTGTAAAGGGGGTGGAAAATCTGCGGGTCCGAGTCTCGCCTTCAACCCACACCTTTCTGGCCTCTCTCCTGCGGGGTTTCCCGCACCCCTAATTTTCCTGCACCCCTAATTTTCCCGCACTCCTAATTTTCCCGCACCCCTAATTTTCCCGCACCCCTAATTTTCCCACACCCCTAATTTTCCCACACCCCTAATTTTCCTGCTCAAAGCAGTGCTGGTATCGAGACTCGCTGTCGAGGGGTCGCACGCTCGTAGTTGTCACAAGTGGAGTATTTCAGAGCGCAGAGCTGGGCTGGCCAGCAGGCTCTGCCCTGCGCCGTGCGACGGCCGCCGCCGTCCCCGCGACCACAAGCGCAGGCGCCTCATCCCCCCCCAGCCCGGGCCACCGCGTCTGGGGACGCTGCACCCCGGGACGGGCTGCCCAGGCGGCTGGTACTCACCCCTGTACGGGTCCTGGGGCGGGTTCAAATCCGGAGAGGTGGCGGACTGGACGGGCAGCTGGGGGACGGGGACCTGGTTTGGCACGAGCGAGTGGCTCCCGCGGAGGCTGACCCCGTCCTCGCGGTGCGCTCCGACCTGCGGGGTGGCGGGGGGGGAGAGAGGCAGCGGTGAGGCCGTGCCGTGCCGGACAGACTGCCGAACCCCAAATCCTGGGGACCCCAGGAGAGGGATGGGGACGGCGATCCCCGGCGCCGGGCCGCGTTTCACTAGAGGGCGCAGATGGCCCGTACAGCCGCCCGCCCCGCGCCCGCCGCGCGCACCGCGCAGGCCGCCCGGGAGGACGCGGCGCCGCACGCCTCGTGACAAACGCGGCGGAGCAGCTCAGGCAGGTAAAACGTCAAATTGTCTCCCAGGGTGCTGCAGCCAAGCGCACTGATTCCTACCCATCTGTCTTCTATCATGTCCGCCAACAGATCTGACAATTATCTTAATGCCCATATGCTTAATTGTGGGCTTCTCAATTCCCCCATTGCTATCGGAAATCCTGCAGGAATTTCAATTTGGCATTCAGCTTTCATTTCGGGGGATCAGATTTGCAGGCCTGCCATTTTTTTTTTCCCCACACTGCCAGCTAAGCGTCT